CAGCGGATCCAGCGGATCCGTCCGGAAACGGTGCCGGAGGCCGCTCTGGGCTCCTCTGGGCATCCCCCCCGGGGCCCGTTTTGTGAGGATGTCTCAGGCGAGGGCGCCGGTTTGGGATTCGTCATCGGATCCAGCGGATCCAGCGGATCCAGCGGATCCGTCCGGAAACGGTGCCGGAGGCCGCTCTGGGCTCCTCTGGGCATCCCCCCCGGGGCCCGTTTTGTGAGGATGTCTCAGGCGAGGGCGCCGGTTTGGGATTCGTCACCGGATCCAGCGGATCCAGCGGATCCGTCCGGAAACGGTGCCGGAGGCCGCTCTGGGCTCCTCTGGGCATCCCCCCCGGGGCCCGTTTTGTGAGGATGTCTCAGGCGAGGGCGCCGGTTTGGGATTCGTCACCGGATCCAGCGGATCCAGCGGATCCAGCGGATCCGTCCGGAAACGGTGCCGGAGGCCGCTCTGGGCTCCTCTGGGCATCCCCCCCGGGGCCCGTTTTGTGAGGATGTCTCAGGCGAGGGCGCCGGTTTGGGATTCGTCACCGGATCCAGCGGATCCAGCGGATCCGTCCGGAAACGGTGCCGGAGGCCGCTCTGGGCTCCTCTGGGCATCCCCCCCGGGGCCCGTTTTGTGAGGATGTCTCAGGCGAGGGCGCCGGTTTGGGATTCGTCACCGGATCCAGCGGATCCAGCGGATCCAGCGGATCCGTCCGGAAACGGTGCCGGAGGCCGCTCTGGGCTCCTCTGGGCATCCCCCCGGGGCCCGTTTTGTGAGGATGTCTCAGGCGAGGGCGCCGGTTTGGGATTCGTCACCGGATCCAGCGGATCCAGCGGATCCAGCGGATCCAGCGGATCCGTCCGGAAACGGTGCCGGAGGCCGCTCTGGGCTCGTGCTCTTCGCGCCGGGGGTGAGGATGACGTGAGTTCCACAGAAACTCCCTCAAACAACAATTCTTGATGGTCGAGTCGTGATAAGCCGGCGTTTCAGACGGAATGAGCTTGGCATCTGAGTCGCGGCGTTGGAAAACGCCTTGTGAAGCGGCGGCCCGTGCTTCCTTCCGTCTTGGATGGCAACGTTGGCCTGGCATGTGAACAAAATCGGACAATCATGTCAGGCCTGTGCGGATCGGACAGCCAGGAAGGGGCTGGCAGTACAACGCAGTGTTCTTGGCACCTTCGCTCTGTGGCAGCGCAGCGAATAGCGAGCCTGCCAGTCGGGGCTCCACTTTGCGACGACGGCCCATGGGGGCGGCTGACAGCGACACGTTCGCCTTGCATATGGGACGCCATCGCCACCACCCCTGCCCCCGCACGGGCGCGCGTACGCCTGTGCGCATGCGATCTGTTAGGACAAGGCATGCCCACCGACTGCCTCACAGTCGCTTGCACCGAAAACCGAAGTGTTGCCTACGGTAAGCACTGCGGAAGGAAGTCATGGCAAATCTTGGTTGACATCATCGTTACACAGAGGAGGTATATCCAGGGTAAGGGAGAAGTGCATTTGCAAAGGTGCTGGCCCAACAGCGTTTGGTGTTTCTTGACTGCGCTGAGGGCGGTTCTTACAGTTTTTTATTCGGCGTGTTGGAGCACATTTGTTTAGCGATTTGAGGTCTCAACGAATTATTATGTTGCGTATGAGCTCTCTGGTTAGCGTTTTCAAATCAGTTGAACGCACTGCTTCACAAGGACTTCCACCACGTCCTCAGTTCCTTCTCCTTGCGTCCAGACCTCCCTATATTTGAATTAGGATTGTGCCTCTCTTGTCTGGTCGTCGCTGCTGGCTGGTAGCAGGGCCTCCAGGCTTGTTTTGCGCCCGTGTCTGATTGGTGTTAGGGCGTTTTTGTTGCGCGTTCAGCTCTGCGCTCTGCGCGCGGAGCGGGGAGGGGAGGCGGCAGGAGCAGGAGAGCGGGAGCGAAGATGGCAGTGATGACGAGGAACAGCCTTCGACAAGAAAGCTACAATCGCTAACAACAAAATTGAGATCCACAGCCTGAAAGCGCTACAACAACGCAGTAAAACACGCGAACAACAGCGTAGCATTATTTAAACGTTTCAGCTTGTCCAGAGCCCAAAATGCAAAACGGTGACACATGCGTCGTTTTTTTTTATATTTGAAAGCACAGACGCTCGATCGGATAGAAGTACTGTCGCTCCCATTTGTTTTTTTCCCTGCTCTTCCTATCTCCTTCTTCCCTAAACGCCTCCCAAGTTGGGCTCAAAAAATTGGGTCGGAGGATCGCGCCACATCGCCGATGCATCGGCGACGTCGGCGATGCATCGGCGACGTCGGCGTGGAGAAAATCGGAATCCACATCGAGTCGCATGGCCGATGCATCTGCGAATCGGCGCGATCCTCCGATCCCAACCGCTTGGGCCCACTTGCGAGGCCTGGGGGAGGGGACGGAAGGAGAAGAAGAAACATAAAAATGATAGACATAAGAGAAAGAAGAAGATGAACAAGAAAAAACAAAACAAACAAACAACAGCAAAACGCGCGGATACGTTCGCCCGCAGGATGCGGCCAGGCCGGGCCGACTACTGGCCTGCGCAGGGGGGCCGCGGCCCTGGGCCGCATCGCTGCCGTCGTCGTGGCCGTACCTGTTGTCACATCTCTCCAGGGCCTGCGTAAACCATGCCGGGGTTTCCTTCTCGCACTCCTCTTTCTCCTCCTCGGCGCCGCCGTCGAAGTCGTCGCAACTACGGGTCGTACTCGTCGCGATCGTCGCCCCTCCTGGGGGGAAGGGGAAGAGGCGGAGGAGGGAGGAGGAGGAGGAGGAGGAGGAGGAGGAGGAGGAGGCGGAGGCGGAGGAGGGAGGAGGAGGAGGGATCGCGCCCCTCCTCCCAGACTCCCGATCTGGGGGTGGTCGGCCGCCTCGCCACGCTCAGCCCGCCCCTGGCCTTCTGGTCCCAGTCCACGGCCAGGCGCCAGGGCTCCGGGCACGGGCCGCTGCGCGACCACGGGATGCCGGCCTGCAGGGACCTGCAGGGTGGGGAGGCAGCTCCTGGGCGGTCTTCGTCAGAACGGCTTGGAGGCCTGGGAAGTGGGCACCAACACCAACACAGGGGGGTGCCTCCACAGGGGGGAGGTGATCCCAGATTTCGGCGTTGGTGGTAATGTCTCGGCCGCCTTGGAAGCCCGAATATTACCACCATCATCGAGATCGGGATCTTCTTCCCTCGGTGGAGGCACACCGCCGATGTTGGTGTTGGTGTCAACCTCTAGGCCTACGAACGGTTGGGGGCTGTTGAGCCCGATTGAGGGGCCACCGAGCCGGATCGGGCCGGAGCAAGCCCGGGATGAGGCTGGATGAAGCGTGACTGAGCAGGATTAGGCGAGATGCAGCCGGGTCAGCCCAGTTTTCGACCAAGGATATACCAGCGCCCATTCAGAATTTAGCCTCCCAGGAGTTGCGTTCTTGTGTAGGGCGCGCGACAGGGGGGGCGGCACTGAGTGGAAGACACTCAACGCGTGCTTCTCTTTGGCACCTTTTGGCCGCGTTCTGTTTGGCCACCGCATCAACTGTCCCCCTTCGCTGTTGCCCCTAGCCTCGAAACGTTGTAGGTGTTCGTCACGAGGCAGCCGACCATCGCGTCCTCCCCGGGCTTGCCCTTGCGCGGCGCCGGAAGCCCAGGGGCTAAGCCGCCAGCCCAATCCACTCACTCGGAATAACGGGAGAGGACAGATCAACTCCACCAAGGGGAGAGGGAGGGGGGGACGAGGGGAGGAGAGGTAGGAGGGCAAGAGAAATAGAGAAAAAGAGAGAGAGAGAGAGAGCTTGGAATAGTGGAGGAAAGGAGACGATGGGGAGAAAGCTAATCAACGGGAAGGGATTGGAAGCAGGAGAGAAAAGAGTTCGAGCGCAGAGAGAGAGAGAGAGAAAAAAAAAAAAAAAAAACATATATATATATATATATATATATATATATATAAACACAACAACAGAGACAGAGAGAGAGAGAGAATGACAGAGAGAGGGAGAGGGATAAAGAGAGAGAGAGAGGGATAGAGAGAGAATGGGAGAGAGAGAGAGATAATGGGAAACAGAGAGAGAGAGAGAGATAGGAAGCGCAAAGAGAGAGAGAGAGAGGGAGTGAAAGGGATCCCCCCCGCTGATGGAAGTTCCCCCCAGTGCTGAGACCGCTGCTGGGGAGGCGGCCCAGTGACAGATTCTCCTTCGACGCGGGACGTGGAGGCAGGGGTGAGCTTCGGGCGCAAACTTTCGACTCCTCCCTCTACCCATTCTCCCCTCGTCCCCCCCTTTCATACACATGTTTTTCCTCCTCCTCCGCCGCTTCCCGTTCCCCTCATCCTACGCATCATCATTCTCCTCCCGCTGCCGCAGTCCATCCCCTCCCCCCTCTTCTACCCCCTCCCTCTCCGCCTCTCAATCCCTCTCCCTCTCCCTCTCCTTCGCCCTCTCTCCCTATCCCTCTCCCTCCTCCTCCTCCTCCTGCTGCTCCTCCTCCTCCTCCTCCTCCTCTTCCTCCTCATCCTCCTCGACCCTCAAGCAACTTGGGCTCGAACATTTTGCTCGGCCGACTCCAATACCCGCACGTGGTGACTGAATTTGTTAGACCACCAGAGGTTAGGCACACCACCAGTCTGCTTTTGTTGGGCCACGCAGAGGTGGTGATTGAATCTAGAGCTCAGATCAAACAGCGGGCAATGGGAGCTTTGGACAAGACCCAGGGCTGGACCAAACGCGGTCATTGTGGACGATGCGAGTGGAAACAGAGGCTGAAGGAGGCCAATCTCCAGTGCAGCAAACGTCACAAGAAGGTGAAGCTCTACAAGCCAAAGTCCACGCAGTCCGTGCCAGAGAAAGATCCCCAGAGCGGCAACCCAGCGAAGGCGCTCAGCCAGATGGAGGCCCTCGAGCCTGACATCAAGTGCCAGCGACGCCAAGCTACAGGAGGTTATCCCGCAGCAGCTGCAGACCATGAAGAACGCTGAGCCAGGAGTCGTTCCTGGCACAGCGGAGGCAGCGGAGGCGCTTCGCAAAGCGGTTGGCTTCAAGCTGACCTGGGACAAATCGATGTTCACGAACCTCGAGGACTCGGAGTACGAGAAAGAAGAACGAGAGAGATTGCAAGCCATCCACAAAGCGTTGAAGGATTTCTCGTCCAGGGTGGAAAGCTACAACGCGGAGGTTGAGGAGTGGCTGTCCGCGTCGGCGCAACTGAGAGAGAACCTCAGGCAGAGATTGAAGAAGAAGAAGAAGAAGCATAATAAGAAGAAGACGGAGGAGCCTGGCCCCAAGCCAGGAGCCGCGAGCCGCGACGATGCCACAGGCAGCGCTGATGGAGCGCCAGCCGCGGAGCCCGTCGCCGCTCTCGAGGCACAGGATGTCTCGATGGCCGATGACGCAGCCGCGGCCCCCGCCCCAGCTGACGACGCCGATGTCAACGTGAAGCAGAAGGCCCAGGTCAAAGAGACGGCGGCGAACATGTCGAAGTCCAAGTTCGAGGCGCAGCAGATGGCGATGCTGGCGGAGGTTAGGGGCACCAACGCCAGCCTCAACCCGATGGGCCAGGGCAAGGGGCCTCGGTGACTAGGCTCCGACGTGACGAGCGGTGGCGAGCCTCTGAGGGCGTCAGGGTCTGAGGTTAAGGGTCCAGGGTTGACTACTCCGCCAGAGGTCGAGACCAGCAAGCTGTTCTTCGCCAATGTGACCGCCATGTGGAGCCAGTCCTCAGCGTACCTTGGAAGTCATGCATAGGTTTGTTCGTAGAACTGAGTTCGCTTGGAGCGCAACTTGAAACCAGAACCCTTAGCTTGCCCGCCAAGTTGCCTCAGGGGCCCCGACCCAGTGTCGGGGGCGATTTGGCGTGCGGTCGCCAAATCAATGGATCGGGGGAAGTGCCCTCTCCAAAATGCGGCCGGTGCCGCCTCGCTCGAAGGCGGAAATCCGCGATTTCCCATGGAAACGGGACCCGTCGCTAATCCACGCCTTATTGATCCATGTTTGCGATCGCCTGACAGTGCCAAGTCTGTACCAGGGTCAAAGTCTGCTCTTGCTCGCACGAAAGCCCGCGCCCGAGCCAAGCGTGCCGACGTGTAACAAGATTTGTGTTAGGGACCGCCCGGAACCTGTTCCGTCAGCTGAGCTTCGCCCGAGAGCTCCTGGCGAGGACGGGTACGAGGAGCCCTTCAGTTTTGAAGCAGATGAAGATGTTGACGCATGGACTGAGCAAGACTTGATTGCCCAGGAAACCTTGTCTCAGGAGCCAAGTTGCGTGCGTCTCACCACCCCCTCCCCCTTTAACGACCCAGGCAGGACACCGGGAAGACCGCCCCAGTTTTGAGATACCTGAGCAGACGTGGAAGAAGTGCCGCAGAGATGCGGGGTCCATCCCACCCAGTGCATGTCACCCCCCTGCCCACTTTCTCAACTCGGTCAGTAGCCATTTTGGCTCAAGCAATCTTGCCTACATGAGCAGCCATTACGCTCTGTGGGTCTCTACCATGGATGAGGCAGTCTGTCTACATCATTCTTTTCAGGTACCGCCTAGTGCACGCCGTGCAGAGTGCGCCAGTCTCTCCACGTCAGCGATCAAGCAGACAGCCATCCAGGGAGAGGTGCAGCCCTTCGAGGACGAGGTGGCCAACTGGTGGACCCAGCTGAGCACAGCCACAGCAGGTCTGGCAAACCATCGTGAGCGCCAGAACGGAGTCAAGCAGGTCCACCACCTTCTCGACTGCTGCAACACGTTGGAAAATGATATAGCTGAGAGAGCATCTATGCTAACACGGACCAATCCCACGTTTGATAGCGTGGTGAGAGCGTTGAGAACAGTTGCCAGCCAGTCAGACGGAGTGGTCAAAAAGTTGTGTACGTTCACGCTTATTATGTGAAAGCGAAGTCAGTCAAAAGCTCTCCATGCGTCGATGGAGAAGTTTCGAACTTGGGTGGAGTCTCCAGAGGCCATTGGATGTCTACATTGGTCAATCAAGGAGCAGCTGTTCACGCCGACGGAGACGCTCATCAGCAAAGGAGAATCTGTATCATCACCCGGCATTCGGGCCCCACCATTGCTCAGTTATGATGATCTGGACAAAGCATTTGGAAAAGCTCGGGCAGCAGCTCGAGACGACCCGCTCCTACAGCTAGAGCCCGATGACATCAGACGTGCAACGAAGAAAATGAAGGCCAGTATCGGACAATGTGTTGACAAATCGTCACCAGCCGACATCGAGCGACAACCAGACTGAAGCCTCCGGGAACTCTCAGAGTTGGATTCTTCGGTCGAGGCCAGCCTGTGGCTGGCCAGTTCAAACACAGTTGGTGATTGGACAAATGACACCCAAGCATCGGGGAGACGGACGGACGGACCACCGCATCAGGCGAGCCTGTCCCACTACGGGGAGGGGTGGAAAAGCACCGTGGCGCTGCTCTGGTGCATCCTGCAAAACTCAGATTCCCATGTTCGCCAAGCCGTGGTGTCACAAGCATCGGGGAGACGGAGATCGAAGCACTGGCCTCATGCCAATGTTCAGTCGAGGATGGTCGCAGGCTCGCGACCCTCAGGCAGAGCGGTCGCAATCCACAGCCCCCGAGCGGGAGGCGGCGGCCGAAGGCAACGCGGCATTGCGGGAAGCCTCCGCGCGAGCCCAAGACGAAGAGCTTGCAGGCATCACAGGCATGCCGCTGGGGAACGGATGGATGGACACAAAAAGATGTTATGACACTATCCCGTGGTGCAGATTGATTGGTTGTGCCCTTAGATTTGGGGTGCCCAGCTCAACTCTTGTACCTTGAGCTGTTGAGTTGAGCAGCACTCCGAGCCCTCCGTCAGGAAGAGGCCTTCTCTCTCCCATTCAGTCCAACCCAGTCAGTTGTGCAGGGACTCAGAGGGGGGAACCAGGTTTGCGCGGGCAAGGGTGTATATTCTTCGAACAGTAAGCGTCGCCCTCCCCAAATGATTCATCCTTCGAATATGGATCGACGACTTGAGTCAAAGCACGTGCCATGGTCAAGACAACGTGTGATGTAATGAAAAAGCAAAAACTCAAAGTCGCGTGCAAAAGTGCTGTCCTTTGTATTTACATGGATGGTCCACGGCATGTTGCAAAGCAAGTCCGCAAAGCAGGATACCATCTGGAGGCTCTCAGTCAAGTGGCATATCTTGGAGCTGATCCCTCAGGGGGTAAATGACATGGTCGAGCTGTGAGGACAAAAAAGAATGCAAAATTCAAACGCCATGCACAAAAAAAGAACCTTCGCAGCAGCAGCCCGCCATTACAAAGTCACGACACGTCTGGAGAAACAAGCAGCCTCCGCAACAGGAGCGTACGCGCACCAGTTGCACGGCACTTTCGGCGCGCAGCTGTAAACGCTTCGGACAAGGTTGGGTGCAGTCAGCACCGCCCAGATGTCAGGCCGATGTCTGACCACTTTGCTTGCGCTCAAAGAAGACCCTGGCGTAAAGATGCCAGGAGAGTGTTTGCAGCTTTGGTTCAGAATGTGGGCCCACGAGGGCCGCCACCTTCAGCCAGCAATCAAAAAAAAGTGACAATCAACAATTGAGAAGCTCGCATCACTGGAGCAAGGAGTACGGCATCGACGTAATCGTCGCCAATTAAGTGCAGTCATAACCTATCTTCTGGA